AATGGAAAACGGCTTCTCTATTGTTAAAGGAAGAAATATCTTGTACAGGTAACTGTCACTTACCTAACTTTGGGCAAGGCCCTTTGAAACCTCAGTTTCAGTTTCATGTTTATGAAATTGGAGTATCTGCTCTGGTGGACTCACAGTAAAGTTTGTATCAGAAAAACTGTAAATAGTGAAATCGGATTAATTTTGTCAGTGTATCATGTAAGGAAGTTTTGCATTTGGTCTTGACCTCAGAAATCATCATGATTGTTTGCGAACTGCCTCATGCAGTTGTGGGAGAGTTAGACTTCTAAAAGACTCGTGAATTAAATTTTAGCTGCTTATATAGAAACATTTTTTAAAAATATGAAAGGGGACATCTACTGTGATTGGCATGAATCACTGTTTCTTTAATGAGGAAATGAATGTGTTGTGACTAAAGAAAGGTTAGATTGACATTTTGTGATGCCCTTGGGGTTTGTCTAACCTTCAAGCTATGGTCTTTTTCCAGTGTCTTTGGCATCAGTAAGATGCTGTTGGACCCAAAACTGTCCTCCACTTTTTCTCCGTGTTGCACTTCTAGAATTTGGGTGTCTGTTGTCAGGGTTCAGATGTATTTGGCTGAGAGTTTTCAGGTCATCCTGTGTGTATAGCTGGACACTAAATTAACCTGTGACTACATTAAACTAATACCTAAGATTATCCAGTAAGCATATAGATTTCTCCTCCTCAGTGCAAAGTTTTACAGGAGGGATTTGATTTTCAACCACCTATTTAATGTCCTAAACATAGGAGCATATTTTATTTTATTTTATTTTATTTATTTATTTTTTTTTATCCTCACCCGAGGACATTTTTCCATTTTTTGTTCAGGTAGAGTGGGAGGGAGAGAGAGGAACAGAGAGAGAGAGAGAAACATCGATGTGAAAGGGACACACCGAGTGGCTGCCACCCGCACAACCGACCAGGGCCGGGGACAAACTGCAGCCGAGGCACGCGCCCCCAGCGGGAACCGAACCCGGGTCTCTCAGGACCGCAGGCCGACGCTCTAACTGCTGAGCCAAACTGGCCAGGGCAACCACCTATTTAATGTCCTAAACATAGGAGCATATTTTAAATGCTTTCGTGTCAATATGAGATTTTCTATTAAGGGAAATAACTGAGATTGGATTAATGTGGGTGGCAAAGTAATTGGATTTGTCTTTTAGGAGATGTTATTATGACCAGGCAATACAAAAGCATGTACCCGAAGACCTTAAATGTTACATCTGCTTTTCTTATACTGTACCTTCTAGTATGTAAACATCAGTGTTCACAAAATGCCTGATATTTAGCATGCTTTTGGTTGGTTCTGATGAGACTCATGCAGAATTTTTGTGGTGAAATGATTGGTCAGTTGCATACAATATAAAGGAAGTCCACGATTATATAACTATCTTCCATCTAAACCAATGAATATTGAGTTTTCCAACTTTGTTTAAATCTGTGATGAAATCATCAACCCCTTGCGGATAGAACTTTTGAGACTTCCTTGTGCCCTTAATCAGAACAAACCAAAACTTTTGCCAAGCTCCTTTACTGGATTTGTCAGTTTCTTTAAACAGCCTTACTGGGGCCTCTTCCCTTTGCCTCTGGAGATTTGTATTAGGTTTAGCTTCTCTTTTAAGTTGTCTGGTTTGCCAGGTGTACATTTACATGTCTGCTTCATCTTTGTACCATCCAAGTCTGCTTAAGGCTTGTTTCTTGAATCCCTTTCGTGCTTCTAACTTTTTCCCACTCTGTATATCTAGTTCTGAGCCTACCTTCATTTAGTTCTTGAAAAATAAAATGTCTTTAGTCATTCTGTTTGGAAAACAGAAGCTTCTTCAGTAATGAACTTGATTACAACAATTCTTTTAGGTGTAAGGCAGATTTGTAGAAACCTGGTTGCTTTTAGGTTAATAATTTTACGTTTCTTCTCCCTTCTATGATCAAGTCCCATGGGATGGGCTTGGTTTTTCTTGATGGCTTAATTTCTCTCAAAATGCTTCTAGTTCTTCAGAATACATAAGGTCTAGACACAGCTTGTTGAGGTTATTTCAGAATTTACTCCTCTAAGGTTGGCTTCATCTAAATCTTTAAGACTATGAGGTGGAAAAGTGCTGTATTTTCCTCTTAAATGCAATTTACTTTTATTTTAAATATGTTTTTATTGATTGATCTTTTTTTTAGAGAGGAAGAAAGAGAGAGAAACATCAATGTGAGAGAGAAACATTGGTTGCCTCCTGCACACTCCCTACTGTGGATCAAGCGTGCAACCCAGGCACGTGCCCTGACTGGAATCAAACTGGGACCTCTCAGTCCATGGGACGTTGCTCAGTCCACTGAGCCACACTGATTTTAACAATGCAGTTTGTCTTTAAAACAGAGTTCAAGCTTCCTTTGTTTATGTGAAATGAGAAATCAGGAGATCAAATCATATTGTAACTTGGCCATTACTACTCTGGTAGTGAGATACTGGAGAAATTCATTCCTGAGCAGCTTTTTAAAAAAAACAATTTTTGGACTTCTGGCCTGAGGTGGCGCTGGAGCGCAGGCAGAGGGGCGGGTGGGGCAGCGGAGGCGGAAGGGACTGACCTGAGCAGCTTTTTATATACAGTTGTCCCTCTTGACGCTTAGACTTTCACGGCTTTGCTTTGTTGCTGTTTTTTCAAATATATTTATTAAAAAGTTGATCGAGAAAGTGAAAATCATACAGTGCACTTAGTTGTCTGAGTCAATTATACACCCCTGTATTACAGTCGAAATTAAAATTACTCTATGTATGGACTGTAGACCTATGTATTTGAGCACCCCAGGAATCCTTCAACGCCAGGTGCAACTGCTAGAGTCTAGAATGGAATAACTGCGATAAACGAGGGACGACTGTATAGTATAGTATTTGAAAAAACCCTGATAGAGTGAAGCCTCGAAAGTCGAAGTGCGAAGTGGTGAGGGACCACTGTATAGTAAATAAAGAATCTTCGTGAAATTTATTTATCGTGGTAGAGTCTGGAACTGATTAACCTTGATAGATGAGGTCTGACTGTATTTGTAAAATTAGAATAATCTACTTTTCAAAGTTGTGATGGAGTTTAATATTTTTAAGAGTGCTCCCATGGACAACTTCCATTTAAAAAAATTTAGCACTAAAAGGACTGCCCTGGCTGGCATGTCTCAATGGTTAGAGTGTTGGCTGAAGGTTCTAGGTTCTATCCCTGGTCCCAGTTAGGGTGTCAGAGCAACCAATGATGTGTTTCACTCATCTTTTCCCTCTCTTCTCCCCCTTTTCCTCCTCACACCTCCTTCCACTGTCTCTAAAAAATCAATGGGAAAAAAAATTCTCTGATGAGAATTAACAAAAAAAAGGGACTGATCATCAGCTAAGGAATAGGTCTTATAATAACGTTCATCTTGTGTTGCCCTCTTTGCCATCTTTTTTTTAATACAAATTTTCTGTTCTCTTAATTCTTATTTTTCTTTCTGGGTCACAGCTCTTCATTGACTATTGCTCCTCCTGTCAGAGTCTATTCTTTGTAGCAGACAAGGAATTAAAAAAAAAAAAAAAAAGGTTCAGGGATGAAGGAACTACCTTTAATTTTATTAAAGCTATATTGGTGATTTTTCTGCTAGTTTATCAGCTCAACTAAAAATAAGTTGCAGTGACTTAAATTTAAACTATATAAAACCATTAAAGGACAGGGGTTGTTTTATTGAAAACTCTGGTTCAGTATATATGGGGGAAGTATCTACAAACAAGATTGGGAGACCAGAGATTTTAAGCAAGGTCTTTTGGGATTGAAATGGTTATAAGTTACGGAGAACTGTTGGGAACTGGAACAGAATGAAAATATAACTAGGGAAATGAGTGAAGCTTTTTTGTTTCCATGGTGCTGTTCAGTTTTGTTGACTAGTCAGTCACAATTTCCCCTTATTTCTAAAATAAGAATCATAGACTTGGGAGCAAAATTCTAGCTTTGCATATATTATTCTGTAACTTTGGTGAAGTTAGTGCTGAATACCTGTTTCCTCATTTGCAATAAGGAGAAGGTAGTATGACTCTCAAGACACACATTTATATTACCTTTTCTCAGGTGAAGTTGAATATAGATAGTGCCAATAAACATTTAATAATTTACCCAATGTTAGCTTAATTAAACAAGCTAGTTTAATCAGATTATCAGAGCAAGCTTTTTAAGGGAATAACAATTTAAAAAAATAGAAATTTGGCTAATAGTAAGTAGCCCCCCTTTTTATTTATTTATATTTTTTAAATTTGTTTTTATTGCTTTTTTTTTAAGAGAGAAACATCGATCAACTGCCTCCTGCACATCCCATGACGGAGATGAGCCCTCTACCTTGGCATGTGCGTTGACCAGGAATCGAATGAGGATCTCTCAGTTCATGGGACGATGCTCAATCCACTGGGCCATACAAACTTAAATAGCCCAGCCAGTGTGGCTCAGTGGATTGAGTGTCGTCCCATGGAATGAGAGGTTCCCGATCGATTCCTGACCAACGCACATGCCAAGATACAATAATGCAGACTGGCCAGTGTGGCTCACTGGTTGAGCATTGACCCGTGCACCAAGAGGCCGCTGTTTTGATTCCTGGTCAGAGCACATGCCCAGGTTGTGGGCCCAATCCCCAGTGGGGGTCATGCAGGAGTCATCCAGTCGATGTTCTCTTTTATCGATATTTCTCTCTCTCCCTTCCTCTCGCTCTAAAAAATCAATGAAGAAAAAATATTAAAAAAAAAAAAAGAAGGCAGAAAGCTTCAGGATTAGATATGTTAACTGAGTTTAGAACATTATGATTAAATGTAATGCAAAACAAAACACAATTAACTTTAATAGATTATGATAGACTTAGAGAATCCCATACTTCATGATGCTCATTTTGGTTAACTTGTAAAATGGTGTTTTTTTTTAAAAGAAATTGTAGCATGGCTCTAGTGATCATCATATATCATTTTCTTATTCTTTTTTTCCTAACAGAAAGCGTGGATACCCATCAGCGAAGTTTTGATATTGGAATTCAGATTGGCTATCAGCGGCGCAATAAGGATGTGTTAGCTTGGGTTAAAAAGCGCAGAAGAACTATTCGTAGAGAAGATTTGATCAGCTTCCTGTGTGGGAAAGTTCCTCCGCCACGAAACTCTAGAGCTCCCCCAAGACTGACTGTAGTGTCCCCTAACAGAGCTACTTCAACGGAAACTAGCTCATCTGTAGAGACTGATTTGCAACCCTTCCGGGAAGCCATAGCTCTGCATGGTAAAGCCGTTTAAACATATTTCTTTGGAAAATGGTTAAGAGTGTGCCTGTGGATCCATTTTCACATTTAGGTTTAGGTCCAGATACATTATCTGTTTTTTTTTTGTCCTTTATAGTAACCTTGCTCTAGAAATGTTGAAATAGAATGGAAGCTAAGAACTTATGGGCAATTTTTGAATGTCAGCTAGCCTATTCTAAAAAATGTTTTCAGAAAGTTAGTTTGAGCTTATTGATTTTACAAGTAACACAATCTTTGCAGCATTGAGTAGAATTTGCTTTATACTTTTATTGTACATGTTTTGTTACTGTTCTGAGTCAAAGAGGAAGTTTTTGTGTTTTCAAAGAATTTTACCACATTAATAATTGCCTGGTAAGTGACAAGCTAGTAAGGCAGGTAATTGTTGGGTTAGCTGTCATGAAAATCCCTTTAACACCCTAAGTTACTACATGTGCCTTTAGAGGGTGAGAGTTGATGACCCAAGTGGGAGTGGACAGATGGAAGAATAATCGACTTTCCTTATGTCTGTTGTCCCTTAGGTCCTTGCTTTGTTAGTCAGACTGTCAGAGGACAGGTACACCATCTCCCTAGGCCAGATCTGCCATAAAAAGGCATTCTTGGCCGAGGGGTTTAAGTATTACTGGAGAAACCTGGGGTATGTAGTCAATGAGTCTGTTGTTGCTTGTTGTTCTCTAATACAGACTTTTAATTAGAACTGGGAGAAATACTTCTTTAGGACAACCTTTAATACTACTGTAAAAATAAGACAAAGTAATGAGACTTGGTTGAAGCCAAGGTGAAAACATGGATTGTGCCAGTGACTAAACATGTAGAAGTGATTAGTGAGTTAGGTCATGATTCTTCTTAAAAGTTAACATTTGGGCCATAGCATAGGTCGTCTAAAACGAAGCAAGCTGGTAATAAAAAAAGTGGAATATATATAAAGGGCTTCTATGGCCTTGAAACCTTAATGCTCATAGAGATTCTTGTTCTCTCTGGCAAACCTTGATTCTCTATCTTAAAACCAGAACATGAGGTTTGAAAAAGTGTCCCCCCCTCCAGATTGTGAGTTTGTTTAGGATAAGTTAAAAATACAAAAACATTAATTACAGGAAACTCCATGATGTATGGATGAGAGACATAACTACTTGCTCTTTCTTTCTTTCTTTCTTTTTTTTTTTTAATCCTCACCCGAGGACATTTTTTCTATTTTTTGTTCAGATAGAGTGTGGGAGGGAGAGAGAGAGAGAGACAGAGAGACAGAGAGACATCGACGTGAAAGGGACACGTCGAGTGGTTGCCACCCACACGACCCAACCAGGGCCGGGGACAAACTGCAACCGAGGTACACGCCCTTAGCGGGAACCGAACCCGGGTCTCTCAGGACCGCAGGCCGACGCTCTAACCGCTGAGCCAAACCAGCCAGGGCACTACTTGCTCTTTCTAATAGAGTGCAATAGTTATGCCATCGGAACTTTTGAAACTCAGGCAAAAACAGATCTGTTCCTATTGAATTAGAATTTCACATCTTTTACTGTTAAATTTGGAAAATTTACTAGAAATATATACATAGTTTGTCAGATGAATTTTATTTTTAATTTTTTAAAATTGATTTTTATAGAGAGGGGAAAGGAGAGTGAGAAACATCGATTTGTTGTTCCACTCATCTGTGCATTCATTGGTTGATTCTTGTATGTGCCCTGAATGGGGATTGAACCTGAAACCTTGGCGTATTGGGGGTAACGCTCTAACCAACCGAGCTACTCTGCCAGGGCTGTCAGATTAATTTTAATGCATGGTAGTATTTGATGTAGTTGTCTTTCCTTAAGCATTCTGCTTTTCTTCTTTTGTCTCCAATGAATATAATACTCATTCATACTTCTCTTGTTAAAGTGTCTTTTTCTGTATTTTGCTATACTATACTAGAAGATTTAAGAAACGAAGTACCACTCCTGTTTTAAATTTTAATGCAGTTGTATACAGGGGTGGGCAAAGGTAGGTTTACATTTGTTTGGAAAATAATACAGTGGTTAATAATAGAAGAAAAAACTTGTTTTGCATACTCTCAACTGTGAAACTACTTTTTGCCCCCATTGTAAAAAGGGCCAGCCAGCCCCCCCTCCCTAACAGCTACTATATGTTCCAACTCACTCCTTACATTTTCTTATATTGAATTTGTTCAACTTGTGACTTATTATTTTCCTGAACTTGGGGAATTTTGATGATGGTGTAGTTTTAGAAGGGGATTCTTTATAGTTTAAACTTATGATTAATTGTGAGGGTTTTGAAAAGTTTACTTATAAAGCTGTGTAGAAAAATAATTATTCCCTTCAATAAATTTACCAAATAGTGACAATCCAGAATATATTGGAGACTCAGTGTACTCTTATTCCTAGGGTTCATACACCGAATTCATGTAGTTAAAATTATACGTGTTGTGGTAAAGAGTACTCGGAAAGAGTATACAGAAATATAAATTATACTGAATTTTGTGCTCTAGTGGTTTTAGAAAACATTGGTGTATTGGGAATCCCAGTCTGATTTGAGTGTTCAAAGTGATTGGAATGATTTTATTTTATTTTTTTATTTTTATTTTTTATCCTCACCCGAGGATATTTTTCCATTTTTTGTACAGATAGAGTGGGAGGGAGAGAGAGGAAGGGAGAGAGAGAGAGAAACATTGATGTGAAAGGGACACATCGAGTGGCTGCCACCCGCATGACCAACCAGGGCCGGGGACAAACTGCAACCGAAGTATGTACGTGCCCTTAGCGGGAACCGAACCCGGGTCTCTCCGGACCGCAGGCCGACGCTCTAACCGCTGAGCCAAACTGGCCAGGGCTGGAATGATTTTAAATGGTAGGGCATTGTTAACTAAATTGTAATGCAGCTTAACGACTAACTTTGTAATGAGGTGTCCTTATTTGTTGAATGGTCTATAAATTGAAGTGAAAATTGTTCAGATATTCTTTTAAAATGTAGTTTTGAAACATCTTCATTAGAGCACATTTTTGTCAAGATGCAGTTTTGCATATAATTTGCTTAACCAAATATATGAAACTTCTTGGGAGTTCTACATTGGAGGAAGAGTTTAAATTCATGATATTTTGGAATGCAAGAGGGGACATAGGAAAATAATTGGTATAGTGAGGCAGATTTCTTGAGTTTATAATCAAAACAAACATGAGTGTAGGACAATGGTTCTCAACCTGTGGGTCGAGACCCCTTTGGGGTCGAACGACCCTTTCACAGGGGTTGCCTAAGATAACAGCAAAATTACAGTTATGAAGTAGCAACAAAAATAATTTTATGGTTGCGGGGGTCACCACAACATGAGGAACTGTATTAAACAGTCACGGCATTAGGAAGGTTGAGAACCACTGGTGTAGAAGGTCAGACTGATTTATTCTTTTCCACACATCTCATGTCTTACCCGTTTTTATCAGAGAGGACAATTACCTTTATAGTTTTTTCTTTATCCTAAATTCTTGCTTGCACCCAAATGTGCCCAAATATACCTAAAATACCCGCTTTATTTGAAGGGAGATGGTAAAGATCTAAGGTATTCGTCAAGTAGTTCATGCAGACAGGATGTGATAATGAAAAAGATTCTCTGATCAATACTCTCATCAGCTTTAGAATTAAGTTCACAGTTTCAATCAAAAGTGCATTAGTTAATGGTTATCAATCAATTTTAATAAACGTCAACTAAGGGTTATTGAGGCTTAAAGAATATAATCCAGTGCTTTATTTTGGTACTTATTTTCTGTGTACCATGGGATCTAGTCATCTGGTTATTAAAACTCAGAGAAGTCAAACACATAAGCATATGCTAAATTGATTTCTATCCTTGCCCTTTAGTCCTTGTCTTAAGGACATTATCGAGCCCTGACTGGTTTGGCTCAGTGGTTGTTGGAATGTCGGCCTGCGGACAGAGAGTCCTGGGTTCGGTTCCCGTTAGGGGCACATTCCAAAAAAAAAAAAAGAAAGAAAAAGAACATTATCGAAAATATACTGAGCGCTGAGTTAATACCTGTCACCTAGTTTTTATGTAAGCAGATTTTATATAGACCAAGTCATCTGGACCTTTTGTGGTTCTCTACCTTTCTCACCCCTCTTTTAGTCATCCTTTCTCTTCCAGAAATTTTCCTTCTTAGGCTCTCTGATCTTTCCCCAGGCTCTTACATTGACTTGCAAGCACTTAGAGGGCTGTCTCAGTCAAAATTTCCAAAATTTGTACTTCCAGTGTAGACCCTTTATCCTGACTGGCAAATACGTGTGCCCCATTGTTTTCCTGGCAGACATCTTCACTGGATGTCCCACAGGCGTTTATCTCTCACAGATTTGAAACTGGACTCATCCTTCCAGCCCCAACCACAGCAAACACATGTCTTTTCCTCATTTAAGCATACAGCAGATGTACATGCAGATTCTGTGCAGTCTCTGGGAATGTATAAATGAATGGAGTGCTTTCTGTTGCCAACACATACTTGGATAATATTTTAGTGTCTTGAATGTTGTATGTGTAAGATATTCTAGGGGCAGAAAGGGACATTTTACAGTGCAGCCTGGCTGTGGATTCAGAGAAGGTTCTCTGGAGGAGGTGAGTCCTGGTCTCCAGGAATAATCTTGCTTTTATTTCCTAGTCCTGTGTTGACCCATTTGCCAGTCCATCTTTCCTGGGGCCATTGGAATGATCTTTTGGATCTTTTCACTTTGCTGATAAAGAACCTTTGTTTTTCTATGGCCTACAGCATGAAATCAGAACTCAGCATGGCATTGCATGCATGGCCTTTGTGATTTGGTGTCAAATTTAGGTCAGGTATCTTAGTTATTTTGTTTGATCTGTTGAATACCCACCTCCATTCTCTTTTCTAAATTGTCCCTTTGCCTGTTCATCCTTTTACACTGATTATAAGTCTCTTCTGTGACAAAGCTTTTCTTCAGTTCTCCTCATTTTCTCAATTCTTTCCTGAACTGCTATACCTCTGCTCTTCCAGTT